GTGAAAAAACATATATTTAATACTTGCGCCGGGTATTTAATGTTCGGCTCCGCCCGAACTTAGAGTTTCTTACTTGTTTTATTTTCAATTTTATATGATTTTAAAATGTTGGCAAACGTCAGAACAAAATCAAGGCCGACGAATTGAGAGAATGAATTTCTCTTGTTATGTTTTTATCATGCTTAAATATGTAAATTATTTCATAATGATTTTGATTTTCAGATAAGCAATCGGAATTAAGGTTATTTACATATAATTTTCTTCTTTTCTTTTTTATTGGGTTGTCAGTGGAAAGCACGTCAGCCAGGAATACACTCGATGAATTTCCAAAACCAAAGGCTTTTCGATACGAGAATCAGTCTGAAAAATTTCCCTTCTCTACTGCCTGTTCAAAGTCAGATTTATTGGCAAAATTTTAAAGAGGCATTTATGGATTTTTTCGTGCAAATGATTACCTTTATCCCAAGGACAATTGTGAAAGCGGAGAAAATTACCTGTAAGAAGAGATGAAAAATATTTATTAGTCTAAGCTAATCGTATCTTTATTTTGTTTTTAAAATGTTAAATATTTATGGTTACAAGCATATGTATGTAAAAAATTATAAATATGTACGCCTAATCTTCTATATACACTCTAAAAAAAATTGTGTAAATTTCCTTACGAAAAGGTAGGTTATGTTTTCCTACCTTATTATTCGCGAAATTACATGCTCGAGTATTCAACGAATAGTTTGTTTAAATTTCGAACTTTTTAGAGTGTAAAATGGCTGCTGTGGTGTGCGTAAATTTACTATGAAAGTGTGTACAATAGGGTGGTTGAAAAATGCATGTGAAAAAGTAAAGTCGGAATTTGTATGCTGTCACCCCCTAGGATTGTTCTATACCAAAAAGAAATATACTCCTATTTTTTTATTTTGAAATCAAAAAATATTTAGAGGTCGCTCAAAGCGCCCAAGGTTTTCCATGTAGTTTATATGGGGGAAAAAGAACTTTCGTAGAAATGGTGTTATATAAAATTTTTCAGTCATCTTCATCTTCATTAACGTTTTGTAAATTCCAACAAATATCTCCTAATATGTTAAGCAACAAGCTTCTATCCATGGTCCATGGTCCTAAAAAATATATAAGCATTTAATGCTCCTTCTCTTAAAAAATATCTAATTATTTCCATCGTAGATACTTATGTAT